TTAAAAAAAAAAATGACTTGCTTCTCTACCTGGACATTTTGAGAAATGTAAGATTAATATGAAATAAAGAGCTAAAGTTGAGAATTCAGAAAGTACTTAATTCATCAGTAACTACTGTCCTTTCTACTCTATAAATATATTTAAAATATCTTTTTTTCTCCATCTCTAGTGCCATTGTCCCAGACTAAGGCTTAATCATTTCTCGTAATACCACAAAAACCTGTTTTTACCTATCTTATTCATTCAACACATATGGATTGAATGGCTGATATGTGACTGATTCAGAATCAGGACAGGGAATACGGCCTTCAGATAGTCCCCACAATTGTTCCTTTTATCTACTCAAGAGCTTTAGCAAGGAGCCGTGAAAACAAGAGGGCTGGATGTGAGGCCATAGGTATACAGCCTTCAGGCCAATGGTGGAAGGAAAGATATTAATGGTGATAGAATTTTGTTAGTACTAGGTAATAAAGGTGGCAATGCCAAAGATCTCTATCATGATGCTGTGCCTAGGCAGCCCACAGTAGGGACACCAGAATCACCTCTGACAGATCCCCCACCCCAGGTCTTCTAATTCTCCTCCTTGATCTCTGAGTCCATCTTGAGGTTTTAGAGTGACCTCTTTTTTGGCCTGAATCCAGCCTCCCCTAGTTTGTTTATCTAAGACCTTCCTGGTCCTTTGTTTAGGCCTAATCCCCTCCAGCTCCTCTGCTGAAGCTTTCCTCCAGAGGAGAAAGCTGTATTTCAGGGACCTCACTTCCACAAGGGGTCTGGAACAGAGGAAGGGGACTCTATGAACCCAAATGAAAAAGGCACACTGCTAGCTGCTCGTTCTGAAAGGTATCTGGCTGCAGGTCAGCTAAAGCTGTCAATTAGACCCATAAGGCAAACCCACATTCTAATTTTGAGACCATGGTCACAGTTTCTGAGGATGTCAGAGCTAAAGATCTGGGTCTGAGATAGAGAAATTGTGAGCAGAGACATGGAAGGGGTATCCAGAATGAACCTTGATGACTTCATGATACAGCCCACAGTCAGAAAAGGAATATATAAGTTTTCTTTCTTTCTTTCTTTCTTTCTTTCTTTCTTTCTTTCTTTTTTTTTCTTTTCAGAACCAGGGATTGAACTCAGGTCCTTGCGCTTATCAGGCAAGCGCTTATTCCACTGAGCTATCTCCCCAGCCCCTTTCTTTTCTTTTTCTTTTTTTCTTTTCTTTTCTTTTCTTTTTTTTTTTTTGTACTGGGGATTAAACTCAGAATCTTGTGCCTGCCAGGCAGGTGCTTATGTTGCTGAGCTATCTCCCCAACACCACAGCCAGGAAAGGGAATATGTGTTTGAACAGCTGTTGGCTGCCTATTCTTTTCAACATAATGATTATTTACCAGGCCTGAAACTAGGTGCTGTGTGGCTGCCCTGGAGGTATCATCAGAAAATTACATTCTCAATCATTCATCGATAACATTTCTAGTCCTTTACCTCTTAGGCCTCATTCTCTGTTAAGTTCTGCCAGTTCTCTCTCCTGATTGTCTTTTCAATATAATCACTTCTCTCATGCCCTTGACTTCCTTACCAGTCTTCTTGTATTCTTTTCCCCCTCCATCTCCTTTCCAAAAGATAGAATAATCTTTACAACTTATATCATGCCACTTCCTTTTTAAAAAACCTGTCTCATTGTACCATAAATGAAATACAAGCTCCTTGCCACATCCTGTAATGTCCAGCCCATCGGCTTCTGCTGTGTCTTCCTTACTTCCCACTACTCTTTAGAATCCCAGGCAAATCTCATTGCCCCAGGGGGAGAGGTCAGGGAAGTGGCCAATGTTGTTCCCACTTTGAGTCACCTGTCCACATCATCCCTAACACCACCTTCCAGTCTTACCAGGACAGGGTCCTCTACATTCTTAGGTCTCTAGAAGGAGTCTTTCCTCTCCTCTAATCTCACCTCAACTATTCCACCTAACCCCAGTACCCCTAGTTCCTAGTTGCTGCCTGTGA